CACGTCCTCCTGATTAGGAGCCATCCCCTTGTTGGAAACTTCATTTGCTTGATTTATCGGGAGCATTTGCCAGGATTTCTCCAAAGTGGCAGTGGCTGATCAGAAGAACACCAGGAGAAAGTCTCAGGGACTGAATTATTCATCTAGCTACTTCATCCATAATCTTTGAAATTTAGTTCCGTTTTGTTATTATCTTCCCGTCACTTGGAATCATAGAATCCCTACAGTGTGGAAGCAGACCATTCAGCCCATTGAGTCCACACTGATGTTCGGAAGAGCATCCAATCCATAGCTACTGCCCACCCCTGTATTTGTAAGCCTGCATTTCCCATGGCTAATCCACCAACCCGACACATCCCTACACGCTATGGGCAACTTAGCATGGCCAATCCACCTAACCCTAGAGAAAGGACTCAATTTTTATTGTTGTTCAGCATGGGGGCAATTCATTGCATGTGCTCCCAATCGCTTGAGTAATTAATGTACAAATGTTTCAAAATCAAAATGTTAGAAAAATCTGAATAGTGATGGGACTCAATACTGCATATCAAAACACAGTTTTGAGTGGCCTGACATAGAGAGTTAAGTAACAGAATAAATAATAGCCTTGGCAAATAGATTTAAGGAGAATACAAAGAAATTCTATAAATACACTAAGGGCAAAAGAGTAACTAGGGACAGAATAGGGCCCCTTAAAGATTAACAAGGTCACGTGTGTGTGGAACCTCAAGAGATGGGTGAGATACTGAAGAAATAGTTCACGTCTGTATTTACTGTGGAGAAGGACATGGAAGCTATGGAACCTGGGGTAATAAATAGTAATGTTTTAAAAAGTTTATTTATTAAAGAGGAGGAGGTGCTGGATGTTTTAAAATGCACAGAGGTAGATAAATCCCTGGGATTTGATCAAATGGATCCCAGATCTTTGTGGGAAGCTGGGGAAGAGATTGCTGGGCCGCTTGCTGAGATACTTGTACCAGCGATAGCCACAGGTGAGGTGCTGGAAGACTGGAGGGTGGCTAACATGGTGCCATTATTTAAGAAAGGTGGTAAGGAAAAGCCAGGGAACTGTAGACTGGCAAGCCTGATGTCGGTAGTGGGAAGGTTGTTGGAGGGGAATCTGAGGGACAGCATCTATATGTGTTTGGAAAGTCAAGGACTGATTAGGGATAGTCAACATGGCTTTGTGTGTGGGACATCATTACTCAGTAACTTCATTGAGTTTTTTGAAGAAGAAAGACAAAGAAGTTTGATGAAGACAGAGCGGTAGACAGTGTCTACGTAGACTTTAGCAAGACATTCATCAAAGTTCTGCATGGTAGACTGGTTAGCAAGTTTAGGTCACATGGAATTCAGGGACAGCTAGCCAATTGGATACAAAATTAGCTTGAAGGTAGAAGACAGAGGGTGGTAGTAGAGGGTTGTTTTTCGGACTGGAGGCCTGTGACCAACGGTGTGTCACAGGTATCAGTGCTGGTCCACTGTTTTCATCATTTATATAAATGATTTGGATGTGAATATAGAAGGTTTGGTTAATAAGTTTGCAGATGACCCCTAAGTTCCTGGTGTAGTGGACAATGTAGAATATTATCTCGGAGTACAATGGGACCTTGATCATATGGGCTAATGGGCTGACGAGTGGCAGATGGAGTTTAATTTAGACGAATGTGAGGTGTTGTATTTTGGTAACGCAAACCAGGGCAGGACTTATACACTTAATAGTAGGGCCCTGGAGATTGTTGCTGAACAAAGAGACCTAGGGGTGCATAGTTCCTTGAAAGTGGAGTCACAGGTAGAGAGAATGGAGAAGCCAGCATTTGGCACACTTACCTTTCTTGGTTATTGCATCGAGTATAGGAGTTGGAACATCGTGTTGCAGCTGTACAGGACATTAGTTAGGTCACTTTTGGAATACTTTGTTAAATTCTGGTCTCTCTGCTATGAGAAGGATGTTGTTAAACCTGAAATGGTTCAGAAAAGATTTACCAAGACGTTGGTAGACAAACAGCATCTGGAGGTAAAGAGCTGTCAACGTTTCGGGTATTACCCTTCTTCGGGGCTGGATGTGGGAGTAGGAGGAGCTGCAGATAAAGCGGGGTGGGGACGGGGTGGAGGTGGGATGGTGATGATAGGTGGACACTGGTGGTAGGTACAGCCTGGTTATGGGAGGGATGAATCCGATTGGTGGCTGGAAGGGAGGGTCAGAAGGTGGAATGGAAGGGAGGAGGTGGGGCTGGAAAGGGACCTGGGAGATGGGTAGGATGGTTATTTGAAATTGGAGAACTCAATGTTAAGTCCTCTGGGTTGGAGGGTGCCCAGGCGGAAGAGAAGGCGTTGTTCTTCAAATTTGCATTCTGAGTCGCTGTGACACAGGAGGAGGCCGAGGACAGACATGTCGGAGGGGGAGTGGGGAGGGGGAGTTGAAATGGGCGGTGACCAGGAGGTTAGGTTGGCCGTTATGGGCCAGGCGAGGATGGTCGGCGAAACAGTCACTTAGTCTATGTTTGGTCTCACCGACATAGAGAAGACCACATCAGGAGCACTGGATGCAATAGACTGGGTTGGATGTTGCTGGATTGGAAGGTTTTCAGCTACAAGGAGAGGCTGAATAGGCTGGGGCTTTTTTTCCAGAGCATCGTAAGCTGAGGGGTGACCTTATAAAAGTTAAGAAAGTCATGAGGGGCATGGATAGGGAGAATAGCCATTGTCTTCTTCCTAGTGTAGGGGAGTTAAAAATTAGAGGATACAGTTTAGGGTGAGAGGGAAAAGATTTAAATCAGACTTAAGGGGGAACTTTTTCATACAAAGGGTGGTGCGTGCATGAAACAAGCTGTGAGAGGAGGTGGTGGAGGCTGCTACAATTACAACATTTAAAAGGCATCTGAATGAGTACGTGAATAGGAAGGATTTAGAGAGATATTGGCCAATGCTGGCAAATAGGACTGGATCAGTTTAGGATATCTGGTAAACGTGGACAAGTTGGACTGAAGAGTCTGTTTGCATGCTATACAACTCTACGACTCTATGGCTACAAAACAAAAAGCTGAGAGTAGAAGTTCAAGGTATAATGAACTGGATGGACAAATATTGGAAAGTGGTGTTCCATAAAAATTGGTGTTGGGACCATAGATCTTTATTTTTCTGTATGATTTGGACTTGTGAAACTGTGATACAATTTCAAACTCTGCAGCTGGTATACCTGGACGTCAATCACAATTGGACTGATGTGTGGCACATTGTTATTCACTCACTAATGAGTCTGATTGCTCACCTAGGAAACTCGATGTCACTGGTTGTGGGTGCTGTAGGTCCTTGCATGGCTGGTCCTGGAGTTGCATTTCTAACCACACATTTGGCAGGTGTTTGGCCTTGAGATCATTGGCATTCCTTTCTCTGATTCTCTTTCCACACTTCCTCTTGCCACTGAATGTCTTAAAGAATCATGTCCCTTCACGCAGGAGCTTCTGCTGAGTTGATTTCTTCCGAATGAGAGTTGGTATCTATGTTGCATTTCTTGAGAGAAGCTTTCAGAGAGACTTTGAAAGGCTTCCTTTGCCTTCCTTTTGTTGAGTGCCTTCCTTGAACTGGGCAAAGAAGATTTGCTTTGGTAGTTGGAATTCAGGTACTCTAAGCCTGTGGCCATCCCAACGGTGTTGGTTTTGGATGATCATGGCCTCGATGCTGGTACTGTTTGCTGCTTAAAGGATGCTGATGTTTGTATCCCTATCCTCCCAGCTGATGCAGAGAATCCGTCTCTAACAATTTTGATGGTACGTCTCAAGGTGGCATCTATATGTAGTCCAGGTTTTAAATCCATGTAGAAGAGTTGGACGGATGACTGCCTTGTACCCAAGGATCTTGGTATCAGCATGATGTCATGTAGACTCTCATCCTAAGGTATCCGAAGGCGATGCTCGTAGATTGAATGTAATATTGAATCTCCACATTGACGTCAGCTTTAGATAAGAGGTAGCTTGCCAGGTAGGGGAAATGTTCCACTTTTGGGAGGATTTCTCCACTGATCATAATGGAGGGATGGATGGGATCTGGGATCGGTTTGTAAAGGATTTGAGTCATCTTGAGGTTGAGGCTGAGAGCAATTCTTTGATTTGCTTCTGGAAAGACATTGTTAAGTACAGAAACCTGGTCAGTGCTTTCTGTCAACCTGGGTTTAAAAGACAGGTAAATGGAGGAATTTTGCATAATTATATAAAATCTTTAACTTTTGTGATAACTCCAAGAATAGCAGAGCTTGATTTGCAGCATTTTACCCCAGTTAGTAGTAACCTCCAAGGCAAAAAAAAGAGGCAACACCATTAACAGGTAATAAGCTTAAAAGCAAGATTATCTATTAAAGGTTGAGAAAAATAAAGATTACATAATTCAAAAGCCCTTAAAGTCCTAGGGTTGTTTGATTTTTAGCATGAGACCACAGTTAGCGAATACTTGATCTAACACCTAACAGTGCCAGAACATCTCTATCACTGAGTTCTTTGTGAATAGTTGTGTTTCTTAATTTTCCTTTTCACTGTATACTGTGTTTTGGGATGATGAGAGAAGCAGGCAGGGGGAGAGACAGTGTTCCAGTTCTTGTCACAAATTCACTTGTCTTTCTATGTGTCCTGCCTGCTCAACATTAGCTTTTGAAGTGTTCATTATGAATTCAGGAGTCTGACTCCATTGTTTTTCTGAACTGGCCAACTGTCAGCGCTGCATCTTGCAGTATGGGATATTATCATGCACACATGAAGTTAACAGAATTTGCACATTTCCTGATGGTTGCCTGTTTTCAATGTTTTTAGATAAAATTGTTAATTTCATTGCGTACGGCTTTGTTTATTCCATAAGGGCTTCCTGATGCTTAAGCCGTTTTAGCTGCACGTTCCTTGCTTTTTGAAAGCTAGTTTAATCACAAAACATCTTGGGTATAACAATCAGATGATGGAAGTTAAAATCCAGTAGTTCATGTGGGTTACTGATGGCATTTTTGCTTCTCACAGTCTGAAACGTGAAATGCGGAAGCTGGCTCAGGAGGAATGTGGCCTGGAAGAGCCCACTGTAGCCATGTCCTTTGTCTATTTTGAGAAGCTGGCCCTCAAAGGCAAACTAAATAAACAAAACCGAAAACTCTGTGCTGGTGCCTGTGTTCTGCTTGCTGCCAAAGTAGGCAGTGACCTCCGAAAGCATGAAGTCAAGCATCTGATAGATGTAAGTACATTGGAATAGAAGAATGGCTTTGTCTGATTGTTTCTGTTGTTATGCCACCTATCCATCAATACAATGTTTAAACAATGCTTTGTAGATGCCATAGACCATATGGACTGTATAACTCACCTTTGTGAATTTAAAGCCACAAGGTGTACATATGAGTTTCTTTAGAATTCAAAAGTTGGATAATATTGGGAAATTGCAGTAAAGATAATTTATAAATGCTATTTCACTTCAAATAGAAATGTAACCAAAGCATATAACATTCATGCAGTGGTCCTCACATGGAATCATAGCTCACATTGAGCAAAGAAGGACACCCAGCAGAAGGTAAAAGGGATAAGGAAAAACATAGGTGAGAAGAAGTGTCCGAGGTTATCATACATGGCCGAGGGAGAATAACAGTGCAGGGCTCAAGAATCCAACCAAGGTCAGAAGATTTATATCAAAGGAGTGAGCAATTGCATTCCAAAGAGCAGATGGCTGAACAGCAACAGGTTCAAAGGGCACTATGGTACTGAGCAGCTGCAAGTCTGAGAGCTGTACAGGAAACGATGTCACAGCAAAAGAAGGAGTGCTATAAAAGCAGGGAAGTTCTACTGTAGCTGTCCGAGCCTTCGTGAGACGACTCTGAGAGTACTGTGTACAACTTTTGTTGTCATATTCGAAGAAGCAGATAATTATGTTAGAAGCTTATCTGAGAAGGTTCACTCGATTCATTCTTCAGATGAAGGACTTGTAAAGAAAGGTTGAACATTTAGAATGAGAAGACGTCTTACTGAAGCATATAAGATCTTGTGAATAACGAAAAGTCTGAATACCAAGATGTTTCCTTTTGTGAGGAAGATGAGAATTAGGGGACACAGTTCTAAAATATGAGGCGTCCCTTTTAAAATGTGGATGAGGAGAAATCGTCTTGTCTTATTAGTCCAGGAATTGTTTCCATGTGAACAGCAGAGGCTGGATCTTTGAGTTTATTTAAGGCTGAGTTGGATTAGTGCAGTCTCACCATGGCCATGTACTTCTTATCAAGACCTGGCTACTTTTATACTCCATGGCCATTGGCCTTTCTAATTTCTTGCTGTACCTACATGCTAACCTTTTGGCATTCGTAGGAAAAGACACAACAGTCCCTCAGTGCTGCAGCATCCTCCAATTAAATAATTTTCCACTTTTCTATCCTTGCTGCCAAAGTGGGCAATCATACATTTTTTTCTCTCACTGTACTTGACATATGCTAATTTTTTAGTCTGTTCATTTAATTATCTACAGTCCTTTGGAGAGTCTTTGTAATCTTCTTATGACTTGCTTTTCTGCCATTCCAGCAAATTTGGTTAAATAGCAATTAGTCACTTCAATTAAATCATTAATATTGATTACATTTTGTTGAGGCTACAGCACTGATACCTAGGGCACTCCAGTGGTTACACTTTGCCAACCTGAAATGATCTATTTATTCCAACTCTCTGTTTCTTCCTCATTAGCTAATCCTCTATCCATGCTAATGTTGTCAGCTCCGACACCATGTTTTTTTTTTGTTCACTCGTGGGATGTGGGTGTCGCTGGCTGAGTCAGCATTTATTGCCCGTTCCC